AAATGTGATAATAAGGGCTCACAGAGGCCACTTGAGCCATTTCAGGCTAATTCCTTGTGTATTTCCTCATTAGGGCAGTCCATCAGGGGTCACATTATAAACCCAGTCCAAATACACTGGGAACACAGGTTTCCTGGCACATGGTCTACACATTGTAACTGTCACTGCTTCTGAGCAGGCCTGCCCACCTTCACCCAATCACCACCAGTCCTCTGACTGAGCCAGTCTGTATACCTGGTTCTTGTTTTTCAAGTATAGGCTGCCCTCTGTCTCCATAGGAACAAAAAGATGGTCAGATTCTGCATTTTTCATTACGTTGTACTGAAGTAAGTTTTTACCAAGTAAAAAGGTTTCTTGTTTACAGAGGTTCTCCAGCAAGGTGGCTTAAGTATAGTTCCAACAAACAACTTTCCTTTCCATAACATCAAGGTGCTCACTGGTGTACAGGGCCTAGCAAGGTTTCTATTTAGGTTGACAATTCTCTCTTCAACCCCAATGCACTAGGACTCTCTAAAGACTTTGTCCATCCTGCCCATAGCAGGGAAAATGCTCACTCTCCCCCAAAGAAAAGTCAAAAGGGGGTCTCTTACATAAATATTGGTCCTGCATCCTGGACCTTTGATTAGACCCTGCTTCTTTGGAAGGAGCCCACCTCCCCCTGTGGCCCCATCACTACTCACATAATGCTGTATTCTATCTGCCTGTTTCCCATGCAGGACTTTTTATAAAATATCACAGCACATGATAATCCAAAACTTTGCTAAAGGGCCCTTAGCTTCCAGGATGTTAATTCAGTTCCCAGATAGGGACCCATGGTACAACTTTGCAGGGGTGGCAAGCCAAAGATCCAACATCACTCACTGGCTTTTCACATGCACTCAGGTTCCACAGTAGATTGGTCTTAGGATTGATCGGGAGTCACGTATGCACATTGTTTTTCATGAAGCTTACTGGTTGTTCCTCGTGGTTCCAGGTTTAGTCCATGGAGATCCTATCCAACATCTGATGTCCATCACTAAACCACCATTTACAACTGACCCAAACAGACTGTTAAATTTCACATTCTCCAATTGTTAACTTTTTAGACTGGTAGACCAGTCCAGCATACTTGCTTACAAAAAAGAACATTTAATTTAAGATTTGTTCAACAGGTACATCTTCAGATAGACTTCCTAACAGTCAGCCATATTACATAATGTCTCTACAATGCAAAGCATGGAAGATCCCATAACAGCGATCGACTTGTATGCAAACAGCCTGTCGGGTTTTTCCCAAATGATCAGTGCCACCAGCTCTAGCCAACAATTATAATTCTGCCGGCGGGGAAGGCTCAAAGCACAGCAGGAGAATCGAATGTACGGATGGGGAAAGCAGCATCCACTGGTTGAAGGAATAAAAATTAATCATGTATGGCCTACCTCTAGACTTAACGAGCATTTACTCTTTCAGTGTACAGAGCTAGGCTTTAGGAATTCAACTTATGTTTATATTCCTACATGTATGTTTTATAGATTTAAAATTCTGTGTTAGAAAAAGTAAGCACAAAGTATAGTTTAGCTACTAATGGGGCTGTTCGTATATATGTTGATGCTAGTGGGCTCCTCCAACATGTGAAATCTAAGGTGTGCCTTGACCTAAGCAGGGATCCTGGAATGAGGCTTCGGTTTCACTTTGTGACACTTCCGGGTATAACCCATTGGTAAAGGCTGATGACTGAAGCTATCTAGCAAATTGTTGGGCAAAAGCTAAGTCTATAGATGGTCAGAGTCAGGGCAGTCTACATTCAGGCAGAGTTGTAATTGAGAACCAGCTGAGGAAGATGGTAGACTTAAGGCCTATTCACACTTCTGTGGTGCAAAACCTCATGTTTTTTATTGTGTGGTGCATTAGGGAAGCCCATTCACATTGTCAACGTACAGCACCACATATTTTATTGGCTATATAATGCACCACAGTGTGTTAAAATGTGTTGTGCTTTACATGCTGCTGTAACACTCAGTAAAATACACTTTTTACCATAATGTGATAATGTCTATAGTCCCAGAAGCTCCATCGATATGCAGTAGTATGTTGGACTCTTCACAGAACATTCAGTGGCTGACAGTATAGCTGATTTTCTGGACCTTCTTTAGCCAGCTATAGATGGGTAGATATCTTTACACCATGACGGAAATACATATCAGTCCTTGTATGAATTTACTGAGTGTTAGGACCCTCCACAGTCCTTGCCTAACACTGAGGCTTTGTTCACACCATATGTGCATAAAAAACTTATAGAAAATACGCACAGATTTGACTTGCATAGAATTGTTATCAATGTGCCCTCTTCACACCATAATGTTGGTGTCATGTGAGGTTATTTTCTGTGCAGAAATATGCAACATTATTTCTATGCAAGGGTACAAATAAAATGATTTTCTATGTGCCTGGGTTACACTGCAAGGTTGGTGTCATGTGAATTTTCAGAATTTTGGAACTCAGAATTTGGAACCTTGGGATCTGTAATTTGAAACTTGGAATTTGTAATTTGAAACTCTAAATTTGGAAATCAAAATTTGGAATTTGGGGCCTCCATTTAGTGTATATTTGGCTCTGGGAGGGTCTGTCTATAATAAGGAATGTTCTCTTATGTAACATGTTAGAAAAAAATGGAATTTCTCTATTTTCTTGTGACCCTTTTACAAGCAGACAAGCTCAGCAACTAGAGGGCTTCATTGGAGGTACTTCATGGGGCTAAATCTGCAGCATTCACATCCTGGAAGGTAAGTATCATTTTATAAATATTCTGATTACAATTAGAACAAATCACACGTTTCTGGGAATCAGCAACCTTTCATATTAGAGTCTGCAAACCTATTTCTATGCAGATTGCAGCACCTCTGTTGAATTGTGGAAACACTCATTTTATAATTGGAGGCATTTAAAGTGTTACCAAACCCAGGACCCTGCATTCACTATCTCTGGTCTCCCACAGTACACAGAACATGGAAATGCAATTATTTTAGTAAATATAAACTGCTAAATACCTTTTCTTATCAGCAGTTAGATAAGTCATGTGACTTCAGCAGAGCACTGATTAAAGCTGGTAGGAGTTTTCTTTCTTTTCTTTCTGTTCTAGGTGGATGTGAAACCCCTGACCCTCTGTCTGATTGACTAAACAGGCTGAACTGCTGTAATACTGACACTCAGTGGCTGAATATCTCCTTGCCATGGGAATTCTGCCATACTGAAGTTTCTATCTGCCAAGCCCAGCTCTGATGAAGAAGGGAGCACCCTTCGAAACGCGTTAGCCTTCATTCCCCCCCTTTTTGATTTACCTGTAACCCTGTTTGGATTATGGTTACTTATGCCTGTTATACAATCATTTTGTGAGTATATTTCCTTATTAATAAAATTAGTCACTATTTATTGAGGTAATGCGCAAGGTTTGTGCGCTCTTTCTTTCATCTTCCTCTACAGTTTTATTAAGCTTCCCCAGCTTCATGATAGAGCTGCACAACCTCTGATCTCCAGTGGATGAATACACAACACGCTGCTTGTCACTAACGCCTGTTTGATCTGAGTCCTTGAGCACAGGAGATAATGGACCTCTGTCTGATTGGCCCTGTGCTGATCACATGCACTCTTCCAAGAAAAAAAAAAAGCCTCTCTAGAAATACACACTATACTGAGCATGATCATGTGACTACAGATTCAGTTTGTATCAGGTGGTCATTTCAACAAGAGGAGGAGCAGAGAAGAAAGGATCAAACAGCCTTTTTACACAATGCAGAGGATTAACCCCTTAGGTTCCACAGTGAGTATAACAACCATATGTTACTGCATATACAGACTGTTTTTACTGTTGCGGGTTTAGTAACACTCTAACTGTAAAAGTAGAGTTATCTGAGGAACATGGTAGATAATCATTATAGTGACAAGAGCTATTCCTGATAAATGTTTCAGTTAATGTGGACCTATCATTAAAAAGGATCTCCACCCTTGTTATCAAAAATCAAATTTTATATTCCTGAAACACTTTTCCCTTATATAAAAATACAAAAAAATAACTAATTGTCCATGGAGTCTAGCGTTGCTTGCTTGCGTGCAGGTAAAGTTCTCCCTACACTGCTCTTCTCCAGTGCAACCATGTGGAATTGGAGTCCAATGCATGTGCAGACATGCTGCCGGGACCTTTGCTGGGTTTATGGTGTGTCTGAGCATGCACAAGATCCCAAAAACTGCCTCCCGGGATGCATGATGTAGAAATCCCAGAAGGCAGAACAAGGGGATCTTGTGCATGTGCAGAAATGCTACAAGGGCTCCTGAAGTGGCAATGGGGTTTTTGTGCAAGCACAAGTCCGGGAATATCATCGTTGCCCAAGTGAAGATTAAGGACATATATTTTAAAAAATCATTAAAGCGAGGTGTCTACTTAGAAAGTGTGTGTTTTTGTGTATGTATACACTGTGTGTGTGTGTGTGTGTGTGTGTGTGTGTGTATATATATATATGTGTGTGTGTGTATATATATATATATATATATATATATATATATATATATATATATATATATATATATATATACACACACTATATTGCTAAATGTATTGGGACGCCTGCTTTTACATGCACATGAAATTTAATGGCATCCCAGTCTTAGTCCATAGAGTTCAATATTAAGTTGGCCCACCCTTTGCAGCTATAGCAGCTTCAACTCTTCTGGGAAGGCTGTCCACAAGGTTTAGGAGTGTGTCTATGGGAATGTTTGACTATTCTTCCAGAAGCGCATTTGTGAGGTTGGACAAGAAGGCCTGGCTCACAGTCTCCGCTCTAATTTATACCAAAGGTGTTCTGTTGGGTTGAGTTTAGGACTCTGTGCAGGCCAGTCAAGTTCCTCCACTCCAAACGTACTGATCCGTGTTTTTATGGACTTTGCTTTGTGCACAGTCATGTTGGAACAGGAGGGGCCATCCCCAAACTGTTCCCACAAAGTTGGAAGCATGAAATTGGTCCAAAAATGTCATGGAAACCCATTCCATGAAGCTCTCTACACACTATTGTTGTGCTAATTTGAAGGCCACATGAAGTTTGGAGGTCCTTAGCTATTGACTCTGCAGACAGTTGGCAACCTCTGTGCACTGTGCACTTCAGCATGCGCTGAACACGCTGTTATTTTTTATGTGGCCTACCACTTCGTGGCTGAGTTGCTGTTGCTCCCAGTTGCTTCCACTTTGTTATAATACCACTAACAGTTGACCGTGGAATATTTAGTAGCAAGGAAATTTCACGGATGGACTTATTGCACAGGTGGCAACCTATCACGGTACCACGCTTGAATTCACTGAGCTCCTGAGAGCGACCCATTCATTCACAAATAATTGTAGAAGCAGTCTGCATGCCTAGATGCTTGATTTTTACACCTGTGGCCATGGAGATGATTGGAACACCTGAATCCAATGATTTGGAGGGGTGTCCCAATACTTTTGGCAATATAGTGTACATATATACACTATATTCCATACATATTGGGACATCGACACAATTCTAACATTTTTGGCTCTATACACCACCACAATGGATTTGAAATTAAAAACAAGATGTGCTTTTACTGCAGACTGTCAGCTTTAATTTGAGGGTATTTACATCCAAATCAGGTGAACGGTGTAGGAATTACAACAGTTTGCATATGTGCCTCCCACTTGTTAAGGGACCAAACGTAATGGGACAATTGGCTTCTCAGCTGTTCCATGGCCAGGTGTGTGTTATTCCCTCATTATCCCAATTACAATGAGAAGATAAAAGGTCCAGAGGTCATTTCAAGTGTGCTATTTGCATTTGGAATCTGTTGCTGTCAACTCTCAAGATTAGATCCAAAGAGCTGTAACTATCAGTGAAACAAGCCATCATTAGGCTGAAAAAACAAAACAAACCCATCAGAGAGATAGCAAAAATATTAGGCATGGCCAAAACAACTGTTTGGAACATTCTTAAAAAGAAAGAACGCACCGGTGAGCTCAGCAACACCAAAAGACCCGGAAGACCACGGAAAACAACTGTGGTGGATGACCGAAGAATTCTTTCCCTGGTGAAGAAAACACCCTTCACAACAGTTGGCCAGATCAAGAACACTCTTCAGGAGGTAGGTGTATGTGTGTCAAAGTCAACAATCAAGAGAAGACTTCACCAGAGTGAATACAGAGGGTTTACCACAAGATGTAAACCATTGGTGAGCCTCAAAAGAAGGAAGGCCAGATTAGAGTTTTCCAAACGACATCTAAAAAAGCCTTCACAGTTCTGGAACAACATCCTATGGACAGATGAGACCAATATCAACTTGTACCAGAGTGATGGGAAGAGAAGAGTATGGAGAAGGAAAGGAACTGCTCATGATCCTAAGCATACCACCTCATCAGTGAAGCATGGTGGTGGTAGTGTCATGGCGTGGGCATGTATGGCTGCCAATGGAACTGATTCTCTTGTATTTATTGATGATGTGACTGCTGACAAAAGCAGCAGGATGAATTCTGAAGTGTTTCGGGCAATATTATCTGCTCATATTCAGCCAAATGCTTCAGAACTCATTGGACGCCGCTTCACAGTGCAGATGGATAATGACCCAAATCATACTGCAAATGCAACCCAAGAGTTTTTTAAGGGAAAGAAGTGGAATGTTATGCAATGGCCAAGTCAATCACCTGACCTGAATCCGATTGAGCATGCATTTCACTTGCTGAAGACAAAACTGAAGGGAAAATGCCCCAAGAACAAGCGGGAACTGAAGACAGTTGCAGTAGAGGCCTGGCAGAGCATCACCAGGGATGAAACCAAGCGTCTGGTGATGTCTATGCGTTCCAGACTTCAGGCTGTAATTGGCTGCAAAGGATTTGCAACCAAGTATTAAAAAGTGAAAGTTTGATTTGATTATTATTCTGTCCCATTACTTTTGATCCCTTAACAAGTGGGAGGCACATATGCAAACTGTTGTAATTCCTACACCGTTCACCTGATTTGGATGTAAATACCCTCAAATTAAAGCTGGCAGTCTGCAGTTGAAGCACATCTTGTTTGTTTCATTTCAAATCCATTGTGGTGGTGTATAAAGCCAAAAATGTTAGAATTGTGTCAATGTCCCAATATTTATGGGCCTGACTGTATATACACCAATTTTCATTTTTTTTTTTTCTTTTGCAATCATGTAATAGGGAGGAGGCATGAAAAGTAAAACTTCTTTTTTTTTTTTCATTTTGGATAGAGTAAGGGAGGGTTATAACCCCTGTTTTTTTTTTTTTTTTTGTCTTTTGTGTGTCAAATTGGGTAGATTTCCCATCACTTCTTGTCCCATACTGAAAACAGGAAGTGAGAGGAAATCCCTCCAACATGAGGGAATCCCTGGTTGTCACCAGATCTAGTGCCCCCATTGGAAAATTTCTGTTTCCGTTCTGAAGACAACCTAAACTTTGAGATTTTCTTTCAGTTTAATTTTCAGTGATAATGGTAAACAGGACTGATAAAGAGGGTGAATCTCCCCAGGGCACAGACAGCAATACAAATTGACAGGTACTCTAATCCTTCTCTGCTCTATCCAAAATAAAAAAGAAAACATTTTGCCTTTAGGTATACATTAAAGTGTTACTAAACATAAATAGTTTTGTAATTAAAATAATAAACATGGTATATTCACCTGCTCTGTGCAATGATACTGCACAGAGTGGCCCCATACCTCCTCTTCTGAGTCCCCCCCCAACAGCGAGGATTCAGAACAAGCTCTTGCTAGTGCGCAAAGTGATGGATTTAGGCTGCTGCCACAAATCAGAGTTAAAGTAGCAATCTGAGCATATTGGTATGTCCTTGTAATTTGTGACCGAACTTCTATACTCTTGACACTATGAACATATATAGTGAACTTCTATACAGTTCACTACGGCAGGGGCGGACTGACCATTCGAGCACTTGGGCACTGCCCGAGGGCCCGGGTCAGTAGGGGGCCCCATGAAATGCCTCTGGCACCTTTTTTTTATAGGCTTTTTGGGTGTGCTTTGAGTGTGGGCAAGGACACAAGGGCCCCATGATCCCCTATTGATCCCCTATTGCCCAGGGGCCCCATGAGTTGTCGGTCCACCCCTGCACTACGTACATTACTCCTAATAGACTCATTGTACACTCTCTTCCTCTCTAGTTGTGCAGCATTCCTGAGCCTGTACTGCAGATCTTGCACTGGTCTCCGCCAACTCGTCAATCACCTTTCTCCAAGTGACTGATGCACATGTTGCTATTCGACATAGGAAGCTCACTTCTCCATGAACCCATACTTGTCTTCCTTCTGAGGCCTCACTTCAAACCCATGCCTCCCAAGCTAGCTCAATAGGGTACTTAGTGCCATAAGGTCGGTCCCAGTATGTGGGAAACTGGTCGCTAGAAAAGCAGCCAAGCACCACACTCCTTCATTACCAGAGTCTCCGTCACCCTTGCCATGTCACCCACTTCCTGGCTGGTTGGGTGCTTAAGCACACAGCACAAGTACAGTAGTTCTTAGCAACATCAGTATAGCCTTCTTAGAACAGCTTCTCTACTTGTTAGGTGTTTGTACTGTATCTTCTATAACATCTCTTGTCCCCTTAATAAAGTGTAGTAAAGTTGTTTTTTTTAAATTTTACTTACAGGTAAGCTTATAATAAAGCTTACCTGTAGGAAAATGAATCTCCTAAAGCCAGCACATGCGCTCTAAAGTTAATGACATACCTATGCTGTTTCTTCAGAGCTGTGTGCCATGGGCCGGGACTCCCGCGCAACATCATAGTGGCCTGTCAGACGGCCGGAGATCTCGAGTCCAGGAAGAAGGACCGGGTGAAGATGGAAGCCTCTTCAGCGTGCAGCTGAAATGCTTCGTTTTAATGTAAGTACATCCTAGCACATTTTGACATTACCTTACAAGGGACTTTTTTTTTTGCAGTTTACTACCGCTTTAAGCTCTGTTCTTTGATATGTACTCCTTTAGTGACTTCAGACCAGACAGATTAGATGAGCGTTAAAATTATTTTACTAAGTAGTTGAAGGTAACACATGAACAGTTCTCAAAAGACAGCTTTAACAAACAGTCCTGTACAAAGTCCTTTAAGTGCCCTTTTAGTTGTGCCACTGGTGCTCCCTTGTGCCCCATGAGGTAGCTATACCTTATTTAATGGTGAAAGTCCATTACAGTCCTTAACAAAGCAAGAGTCCATTATTGGTAGCAAGTCCATACTTGGCAGCATAAATCCATTAGTGGTAGCTTAAGTCCATATAAATCCATAACCCTTGGAACCTGTACTGGGTTCCTACAAGGGGTGGTCAAGCAGCAGAGTGGCGTCTACATCGCAAAAAGCAGAAGGCCCTGAGTGACTCTGTGAGCCCCTATTTACATGATTTGACCTGCAGGGAATGGCATTCTTTTTGAGCAATGTGTGTGTCTGTGTATGTGTGTGTGTATATATATATATATATATATATATATATATATATATATATATAAAATAAAGGAACACTTATTAAAAAGAGTATAGCATCAAGTCAAATAAAACTCCTGAGATATTGATCTGGTTAGTTAAGTAGCAGAGGGGGTTGTTATTTATTTTCAGCTGCTTAGATAGGAAACAATGAGATGATCCCCAAAACAGGAATGGTTTTACAGGTGGAGGCCACTAACTTTTTTTCCCTATTCATCTTTTCTGACTGGTTTTCTTTACTTTTGCATTTGGCTATGGTCAGTGTCAATACTGATAGCATGAGGTGATACCTGGACCCTACAGAGGTTGCACAGGCAGTCTAACTCCAGGATGGTACATCAATACATGCCATTGCCAGAAGGTTTGCTGTGTCTCCCAGCAGAGTCTCAAGAGCATGGAGGAGATTCCAGGAGACAGGCATGTTGTGGTGGTTTATGTAAGGATATATATTATTTATAAAGGGCGTGTCCCTTTCCCTTAGATGAAATATTACAGTGCCTCCAGCCGTTAAAATACGGCAAATATTTAGTAAACCAATAATTTGGACACCTTGATAATTTGATCACCACTTATTATTATACCTTGAATTCTTTTAGCCAATATGATTTCGTACCATACACACAAAATTTGCCTTATAATAGATAAATATAAAAATTTATTTATGTACAAAAATTATATATATATATTAACACAAAACGCAAAAGACTGGTGATAAATGAATATTGGTACACACAATCAAAAAATATATCCTACCAATGTAAGACACACTAATAAGGTCTCTAACTAATTACATCAATCACAAATTTTTAAATGATATGATATTTATTAAATTTATTAATAATTAATAATTTCGAATATCTCAAAGGTTATATTCTTACAAGCCGTGGCCATAGGATTGCAAGAAGGAATCCCTTGATATGTGATACTCTGGTTATTAATATTCAATAAATTATGAAATATGAAAAAAAATTTATAATATGGCAATAAACAATTTTTAACAGTAACACAGTATCTTTC